AGTATTGGACAAAATTTTACCTTGAACGAAGAACGTGGCCGGAATATCAAACAGCTTCAGGACATCCAATATCTTCTCTGTTCTCGCTCGCACACCCTCCTCATATACCGACCCGGGCCCGTCGTCAAAAGTGATAGCCACCGTCCCCGGCTGTTTGCAGCGCCACCAAATGTTTGGATGCGTTTGCCAAAAGTCTTTAGTCCAGGTGTTACCGTAGTATCCATCAACAAGTGTTTGATTGATATCGCTCACAACTGCACCCCTGACACCTAAACTGATAAATAGTATAGCAGCTACAAACAGCTGCAAGTGTCGCCTGCAACCCATGGTTTTGGTTTCGTTAAAGTCTGGTGTACATGTGAGTTTGGCACTGACAGGCTGGTCCTCTATGATTTGTTCGCCACAAACACCAAGAAGGTAGTGATTTGAGAGCTATGGTAGTACTAATCGTCTACACGAAGAAGATGGTGATGTGAGAGCTTTAGTTGTATTTAACAGTCTACACTAGAGATTACAAGGGTTATAGAATGCCTTTGTCAATATATATATATACGGTCAGCCATCGTTGGTGGATATACTCGGGATTGAAGAATCTACAAATCGCCAAAGAACCTTCTCTTAAAACAAGTTTGTGTATGCGTATCTTGCCGTTCTCCCTTCGGGTTTTTACCACCGGTTCACAGCATGTTTCACCGACCACTAGTAGTTGAAGTGTGATACAGTATGGAGCTGAATTCTGAAAAATATTCCGTTGCCTTTTTCTCCTGTTCTGTTCACGCATGATCAGGTATGAATGGTTTTACTGGGAATTGTCTTAAAAGATAAAAGTCTCTCACTCATGACCCCCATTTGCCTACTATCGTTTTAAAATAGTCGTTCATATAAATATCACCTTCTTCGGGGCTATGGTTATTAACACTGCCATAGTGAAAGATGGCATACTTTTTCTTTTTTGTTATTGTTTTATATATTTAAAAAAAACCCAATTTTCGAGAATACAAACCAACGAAAAGTATCTCACTCGTGACCCTTTACTCTAATTTGCCTTCTATCGTATTAAAATAGTCGGTCATATAAATAACACTTTCTTCGGGGCAATGGTTTTTAACACAGCCATAGTGAAAGATGGTGGCATTCTTTCTCTTTTTTTATATTGTTTTTTATATTTCTAAGAAACAATAAATTACAAATTACAA